ACAATCCTAAATGCAAGCTAATTAAGGAAACATAAAAGTAAGATTGTAAGACTTCATTATTTCACATTCACCATTTTATATATAAAAAAGTGTGTAGTGTTTATATAATCTAAACTGTATCAAATTACACAACTTAAAACATTAAATAGCCCCCTAACATTGAGAGTTATCTCATTTTCAATAGTTTTTATTTTACAATGCAGACCATAAGAAACTCTTTTACATTTATTGACATGGATTTAAAACAAAAAAACAAAAATGTGTTTTCCAAATTATACTATACGATAAAAGTGTAATTTAAACTATAAATTTATCAAAGTACATTTAGTAAAATTTTTTCTCAAACTAATTTATTAAAAATATTTTAATAATTTTAATAATTAAACTATATTTTTAATATACACTTTTGACTAAAAAAACAGGGCTCTCTAAAAAAAAATTGTTACACAGGATCTCTACTTCTATTCCTATGCATGGTCAGGCCTATCATTGCTACTGGGCTTGTAAAAGCTATTGGGCAAGTCATAAGCCTAGGAAATAAGAAAAATGGACCAATAAACCATCAGAGGGTACGCCCTATAATATAGTGTGGGTTGGGTAACTTAATAAACTTTTGGGTTTGCATTACTAATGGGTGTACAAATACAGATTCAATTCTCTAGATCCAACAGGTTCCACTTTGCACGTCCAATGGCCACAACACAAAATACGAAGCACGGCACATTCACCACAATTTTTCATAAATATATGAATCCATGTTCATAATGAATTATTTTCTCAAGAAGCTCAAGATAGTCACAACTTTCAACATAAAATCTTTCAATATAAAATACGAAACCGAATCTTATAGGGAAGCAGTAGAATTTTTTCTAAAAATTGTCAAGCACTTATTAATAATTCATTATGATTACGAAAAATTAAATGCAACCACAAGTTTCCATAAATATGTACCCAAATGCTAAAACATCTTCTGAAAACAACACACCAAGATATACTAGGCAATACCGAGGAGGATTGGATCAAGTGATAAGTGGTTTGTTTCAGTTTAAGTAAAATTTTGAGTTTGAGATCTTGTGTACGCAGTAGTTTTCGTTGGAAAATTCACTCATCATTTTCAAGTGCGCGACGCGGTTCAATCTAGAGTAGTCGAGGTGAAGTTCCGGATATTGGGCGAGAAATCAAAAAAAGATATACTAGGCAATGGCTATAGCTACCATGATTTATTTTTAAAAAAAAATATTAATTTTAATTTTAATTTGATTATAAAAATCATAAATTTATAAAATTATAATTAAATTAATAATTTTAACAAAAATTACGGTGATAATAACTTCAGTCATTTATTATCTTTGTTTAATTTTATTTTACCTAATTTAATTTTTTGAATTTTTAAACATTAATATTAAATAAAAATTTAACATAATATATAAATAATAATTAAAAATTTTTATTAATCAAATAAAATTATTTAACAAAAATTATATATAAAAAAATTTAACTATTATTTTTCTATTTTGTTCAATTTTGTTTTAAAGTTAATATATTAAAAGTTAAAAAGTAAAAATAAAACAATTAAAATCAAGTAAGGAAAATATACAATTACAATTATAGCTATAATGACGAGACAAGACAATAACCCTAAACAAAAACTTCAATCTCATCCGCAAAAACTGACACTAAAAAACCATCTCTAACTCCAACACCAAGTTCGAACATTCTAGAGGTACATCCAAAAACTTGATGTTGATCCTTTGGGGGACCGATCGGGCCCCTGCTGTCTTGCTTAAGTCATGCATCAATAATGAGTGGGCATAACGATAAAAAAGAACTAACAATTTATTGAGTTAAGTGGAAAGAGTTCAATTAAAATTTTAATTTTAAGTTTTATAAATATAAAAATATATATTAAAAAAAATTTTACTAAATAAAATCAAATACGACTCGATTTTAAATTAATTATATTCAATATGATTATTATATACTGTAAGATTAATATAAAAAAAATAACGATAAAAATGAAAATTTGGTTGATAAAATGGAGATGATGCAGATTTATGCTTTATACTATGCTATTGTGTGGAGACTAAGAGCATGATCCAATTGCAACAATCAATCCAAAGATGTTTACCTCCCGTAACTCACAAGAGTAACCGATCCTTTAATAAAATTACACTGTGGTACTTTTAAGGATAAGAAAAATTACAAGTAGGTTTAAGATTTTTTATTTATATCCTTTACTTCATCCATCCTAAAATAATTATTTATCATTTTTAATTAAAAATTATCTTAAATTAATTATTTTTTCATTTTTTTAAAGTTATATATATATACACACAAAATTTAACTATATTGTTAGCCTTTAATTTTAATTATTTGCCTTATTATTAAAATTTAACAAGCTGAGAGTTCTTTCTTATTTTTTTGTATGGTAAACGAGTTTCTTAGCTTTTTTTTTTCTTTTCTTTTTAAACAGGGGAAAATTTAAGGGAATGGATATTGATTTTACAAAAATTAAAATAAAAATATTAACTTTAGTAAACTTTTACCCTATCTAACACAGTGAATGTTGTGGCAAGTTTCTTAACTAATTTATACCATGTCACTACATAAGACTAACAATTTTTTGACGATTTTTTTAATGGAGTATTACATACTCTAATAATTGTAGTTTTTTTTTTTTTGGAAAATTGGCAATGGACTAATAATTGTGGTTGTTTTATATAGGTTCTGCCGGACCAAATGTGGCTGTTGGCCACCACGCCTTTAGGAGCATGTGATGGCATGAAAGTATGTCCCAAGTGCTAGCAACTCCCTTCCCCATCTTCTTCAAAAAAAAATCTACACCTCCAACTGCTATTTAATTTATTGTCGTATCGTATAAATTGGGATAATCACAAAATCTCAGTGTGGGAACTATTTCTTAATTTATAATTCGACAGCGTCTAAATTACGTACAAAACTGAAACACATAAAATTAGTATATTACTAGAGGAGTACAACAAAAACTAACTTCTACTTTTCATCATTTCTGTCATCTTCCCACGCCACCGTGACAGACCATCCCTGTCTCAGCAGTCAAAAATGGCCGCCCTCCCAATTAATTTATTTATGCTTTCTCCAGTCAGTTCTAATTTCCTTTATCTTAATTGTCTCTTTATTTTCATATAAAAAGTTCTGTTAATAAATTAAAAAGTTTACCAAATCAATTTCATTTGATAATTTAAGAACTCAGCGTAAGCTTTTTCTTCATAAATACAGGTGTTTTCTTCCCATAAAGATGGAGGGTTTTCCTGATTTAGTTAATAATATTTTTTTTTTGGCCAATACTTAATTAATTGAGATTTAAACAAAATCAGTATTATTTTTTAACGTGCTGATGAAAGCTAAGAGCATAAAAAAATGTTATCCAAGGAGAAAAGTCTTGTTCGTGATTTACATTGATTTTGGCTTGTCTTTTCCTTTCAGTGCTTTCACACTTCATACGAAATAGGATGGTAGCCTCCGAATCCAACGTCTTAAAAAATGAAAATAATTTATAGTATTTTTAGTTTGAAAAGAATCAAAGTAAGAAAAGAAAGATGAATTTTTAATTAATTAAAGTATAATATTTTTAAATAATAAAATTATTAATAGTTATTAATTTAAAATTAAAGTTAGAAGTTTAAACCTTAACATATCAAATAACTTACCTCTAATGTACAAATGAAAAGTATATTGATTCATTTTAGAATTTGCTAAAGGGGAACACAATATTCTTTTATTTTCTTAATTATTCTTCCCAAAACACTAGCTAACTACTCCCTCTATTTCAAAATAATTATCATTTTTAAAATTTTAAATTTGTCTAAAATTAATTGTCATTTTTTTAATTTTTTAAGGTAAATAAACATTTTGTCTTTCTTTAACCCTATCATCATCTATTTACTTTAATTAATCATCCAATCAGAAAAAATCTTTTTATCTTTTATTTCTTTTTTAAGGATGTTATAGATAGTTGCAAATATTATCTCTAAATCCTTAATTTGAGAAAAAAGTAAAAAAAAATAACAATAATTTTAGGGAAATGATTTTGGGACAACCTTTTTGTATCACTTTTTTGTACAACTTGACGTGTCATTTAAATTATCGTTTCTATTAATTCATGTAAAACCTGTGATAGTGAATGCATTTACTCATTTAATGATACATGGAAGTTGTATTAAAAAGTAGTATAGAAAGATTGTTCCTATATCACCACCTATTATTTTAAGATAAAAAGAGTAATAAGATAACATAAACATGTTTTAGTGTTTCTCTTAAACTCAAGAGCATCATTCTAGGGTTTCAAAAAGACAAAAACACCCCTAATGAATTAAGGATGCATGAAGGTTCATTAATACTATTTTGTATCTTCCCCCCTACGCTAGTGCACATCTGTTCACACTAAAAAAAATAATTCTTGTAAGATAATTTTTTTATGTTAATTTTTTTTGAATTTTATATTAATTTGAAGTTAATTAGGTCAATACAAAGTGAATTGTTTACTCTTCCTAGATGATGTTAAAAGTGCATCCTAATTCCTACATCAACTTACTAAATTGAGGATTAAATTTCTTTAAGTGATGATTTTAAAATTTAAATTTTAAATTGGTACAAAAATAATACTTTATTATTAATAAATTTGACTAATTAACACTCAATTCGTTAATCCTCAAAACGTTAAACATTTTGAATCTGCATGTAGGAATTGGGATCTGCGCCCAATACGTGGCAAATACGACTATTATCTTGAATCTTACCATAGAAAACTGTAATGCATATCTTTATAATTTTCTCTTTGCTGACCATAGATCTTGTGAAAAGAAAATTAAAGCGCTCGGAATTTTCTCTTTGCTGACGCGCAGTACAAATTAATTTTTTTCCCTTAATTACTCGTGCCTAGATAGGGAGAAGTTGAAGTTTTCCTCCCAGGCAATTTATGCAGAACTGCAAATTCCAAAGTTGTCTGTTTTCTTTCCCCATGTAGACACGTAGTGTATGTATGAACGTATAGATTGTCAAAGTTAATTTCAAACTTCTAAATAAATGAATTCGAATTAATTTATTGTAGATATTTTATTTTAATTATCTTTCATTTTCTTATTTTTAAGGGTATTTATATATTAAATAATGGTGTAATTTTCACTATTCCCATGTAATTATAATAATAGAAATAAAATTTCACCAAGTAACTACTCTTTTAATGGTTTAGTGAGTGATTGAGTCTATATTATTCATAATTTAGTAGTAATTAACTTTTGTAACTCTTATAACTTCTACTACTCTACTAGTCTATGCATACCAGGTTTGTCATTGTATAAAGGATTATTGTAATCCGTGCCTTTAGAGCAGATTAATTGTCATTGAAATTAATAAAATTTAACATTTATTTAATTGATTATCAAATTAAAATAATACATATAATATTAGTAATAATATTGGTGATAAAATTAATGTAAATTTTTATTTTTTATATTAATTAATATAAAAAAGATATATTAATTACATTTTTAATATGTATTTTTAAAAACACAAATTAGATAAATTCTTATAAAAAAAATAGAAGAATGAATAAAAGTAACAATATCTTTATGGTCTCTTTGCCACCTTTTTTTCTACATATTTCACATTATTCTTTTACTAATATTTAAAAAAAAAAATTTACAACAACTATGTATTTAAGCTCCGGCATTAATAAGTTTATATGGTCAGTTTTTCACTTTTTTGGACGGGCAAGTGGCTCGAGCCCGTGGAAGCAGGGAAGCATATGAAATTAAACCCTGCCCTGCTAAGGAACAAGTTTTTGCACAAGGGTGTTGGGTCACATGACTCGATAGATGTTTGAGAAAAATCTAATTAAAGCTAATTGATAATTGAAGGTGATTGTGAATTCTTTTCTTTTAAAAATATGTAAAGACTAAGAATTGAAATTTAAAGTTTCATTAAATTAAAAGTTAAAAACATTACATAATTTATGATTGTAAGTTCTTCTTTTACACTATGAACCTTCAAAAGATAAAATCATAAAATTTACTACTCAATCAAAACAGACAAATTTAGTTGTGAAAAGAATACATTAGTACGTATTTGCTGATGATATACACACAATTCCCTGCTTTGTGACGTATACCCCGATACCTGATAGAAAGGCAAGACTCTCTTCTGCACACTGTTCTCGTGCAGCTCAACACACCCCCACATGTTCAATTTAGTTGATTAAACGCATTAATCAGTCGAACTACCCTTAATTTAATACATAATTCATCTGACACTTCAAAAGGCCACTCTCCTAATTAAGTTTAGGCCTCTGATATTATAAGCAGGGAAACATCAGCCTTCACGGATGCAACGATTAAATTATTAATTGGCTCATAAAGTTAATAATTGCATGTGACTTCCGTGCATCTTTTAACATCAACGGACAAAGGACGGAACTGCTTCCTCCACATATATAAGTGCTTCCCTTCGACTTAATTTCGGCCATACAGCTACATCAATTACTACATTATCCGGTATATTAGGTACGCAAGTTTAAGTGTTGAAGAGAGAGCAGCAATGTCTATCGAAGCTCTAGCAATGGCAGGGGCCGATTACATAGAATGTGGCATCGACGTTGAACTCTGGGAGAACGGTGGAAAGGAGGAGCAGCCACCGGTTTATCTTCTCGCCGATAAAATCTCCGGTAGCGTTGAGGTTGAGAGGAAGGGCCGTAGCGATGAGAAGGAACGGATGGTGAAAGCCAAAATGCTCCAATGGGCTAAACTTGTTGCTTCTATGAATGAGACAGCGGTTCAGTTGAAAAGGACCCCTGGCTTTAGCTAGCCAGGTAGTTATAATTGTCATTTTGAATGAAAATATGAAGGTCTTGGATCAATATGCCATCCTTTTGAAAACCTTTAAATCAATGAAGAAGTTTTGTTAATGATGATGATGATCTCAGCTCTCTCTAGTTCAGCGTTCTCCCCACCATATTAATTTCAAACAGATCTTTAACAGGGCAATGCATGAGTAATGAATTGAAAAGCAACAAGCTGTGCCTAATTAAGCAACGTCTCAATAATTAATATAATTTGAACGTCTATGTTGAAGTGTCAGATTTAAATTTTGTAAGGAGTTGAAAAAGTTATTTTTTATTGTATATATTATCTTACGTCAGAAACAAAGAAAGCTACAAGTACAACAAAATTGACATACACTAGCTACAAATGAAACCCATAATTATATATGCATTTAAGTGTCAAGTTTTTGCTCTCTCAATTTTAAATATTTGTTGGGTTCACATGTGAACTATAATTGTCTTATATTAAAAGAAGTGATGAGAATAAGACTAATACATATATGTATTATGGAATTGGAGATTCATAATCTTAGTTGATTAGTTTTTTAAATTTAAAATAATATCGTAGATGGCACTAAAAAAAATGATTTTAAACATATATATGAAATCTGATTCAAATATTTGTTGATTAAGTCACCCCATAATATTAATGGAATGCACTTTTCTTATATTCAACTAAAAATAGTATTACTTTTTAATGATTTTGTGTTTTAAATTCAAATCTTTAAAATACTAAATAGTTTACTATAAATCTAAAAAATAAAAATCATCTTCTAAAATATATAGCAGCGTTTTATAAAATCCTATAAACACAGAAAATCTATCCTAGAAGCTTGAGACAAAGAAGCACCGAAGAGAGAGAGAAACATCACTCTCGTTGTCCTCACCCTATTACACATTTTTAAAAAACAAAGTCCAATAGAAGAATAAGAAAAAAGAATTGAAACGATTTATACCTGCATCATTGAAAGCCCTTAACTGTATATCACATGCATTCGTAGGTTAATTTGTCTTTTAAATAATATGCAAAAAGTGCTATAGAGAAGATTAAAAAAAGGAGGTAAAATTCACATGCACATACAACTTTTAGTTTACCACCTAACACCACACATTTATGCACCTCGTCGAGCTAAGTGGTAGGATTGATGCAAATTATATGTGAGAAAACAAATTTAAGCTCTTTTATTGTCAATTTAAGTGTAAATAATTTTAATGAGATTACACAATTGTTATACTTCAAGAGGAGATTTGTCCAATAGCTATAAACAAAATAGTTTACAAGTACTAGTATTAAGAGATTGTTTGCATTAACAATTTAAATGTGCCAAAAACTTAAGTAATTCAGTGGTTAT